AGCTTGGTGCTACTTGTGTGCATCACAAGGGCAAGGGGATGGGAGAGACCAGAACAGTACAGTTTACAAGGAAGATAATTACAGGAATAAAGAAAGAATAAAGACCTAGGAGTAGCCATGCACAAACAGAATATTGTATACCCCTTTATTGAATATTATGCAACAATACCAAACATAAGGATGGCTTTCAAGTACGTAAATAACGAACCACTTGGGAAAAATACCCAACGTATGTAACTTGAGTCCAAAAATATGCAGCTCCAACACACAATCATCTGGCAAAGCAAAACAAAATCAAGGGCTAAGGACATGCCGTGAGACACACCACGAGGACAGGCTAACATAACTAAATCGAGCAACATTAAACCAGAGGCAATATGATCACAATGTACAAGATACAAAGGAGAAGACAGTTTTCTTTTCAGATGATACACATCAGAACAGGGAGCGGACACACATTAGTTGGAAATGCAAACGAGCCAGAAATAGTTAATGAAATAGTGGTATACAGTGAGAACTGTAAGCGGGTGTAAACTGTAAACTTGAGCCAGGGGTGCTGCAAGAAACAGTTCACAACTTAAAAGACAAGCATAACAATACTGGAATATTTGGATGCATAAAAGGTATAATAGCTAGGAGGCAGGGCATTAGAGATCTTGCTTCCCAAAGATAAATACACCCACATATATATTGTAGATATAAATATACAAATTAAAAATTTGTAATAATACTATATTATATGCAATAAGAAACAAGGGTAACGGCAGATTTAGAAATTGTCTAAACATTGCTTAAAAATGCACTAATTCTTTAACGAAAAATACTAGAAGAAAACCATCATACATTACACAGAATAATAATGTTCACAATAACAAAATAAAAATGCAGTACACAAAAATCACAATAAAGCAATCTTGCATATGATAACTGGGATGCAACACCAGGAAGATTCTGCAAGAATTTATTAATATCAAAGATTAATAATGAGGATCAGAGGAGTATGGCATATTCAATATTTACAGTATCAATATTTTCAAGCTACTGTAATTTTGATCTTCACAAACTGCCAATAAGAAGTCCCTAAAGCACCCACAGCCTGCACTATCGTGTAAGCTGACTTTTACAATACGTACACTGATGCACATTGTACTGAATCATATTCCAAACCTCAATATTCAATGCTGACCCCAAAAAATCAAAATTTTAATGGACCAATAGTACTCTGTTGAATATAAAATTAATAGGACAAAAACTGAACTCAATTCCTTTAGAAACTTAACTTTTAAAGCATTTAGAACATGGTTTCAGTCAACAGTTACATTATAAAAACACTCGGCTGAACAATCACTACGACAACTAAACAATATTTATGACAAAAATAGTAACCAACTGTACAAATGCAGAATGACAAGATGAAATACCTGGACAATATACAGTAAATCAAAATGATACCTAATCAAGCATTATGAGCTATATATAATAAACAACTTATACAGCTTAGAACAGTCAGTGAAAGTTCTTTTTTAATATATACTTTAGGTATGGATGGGAAAAAAAGCCTTAACTAAGAAACTGAATAGAAATCACATCAAAGACTGTTCTTATTTTTTGTATCTGGTATACTGATACAGTATAAGTTATATTATACAACGAGATACAATGAAATTGCAAAATGCTTTCCTGCAAACAGCATGGTAATGAGCATTACTTTATTCCCTAGCAAGATCGCAGTCAAAATACTGTCAAAATTTGGATATTTTTAGACTCCATATTCATATATATATATATATGAATATGAGTGCAAATTTCTTGGAAACCTCTTCTCACCCCGCCCCCCCCAACCATCATGTACAGAAAGAGCACAAAAAACTGCTATATATATTCAGAAGGGAGATAAAGAGTATTTTGAGCTTGCCTGCTTGTTAGTTTGTGTACATGCACGCACACAAAGACCAGAGAAGTGAGTGACCAGACCAACACTTGGGAATGCCAACCTCCAGAATGGGACTTGCCAGAGGGGAGCCTACTCCTTGGAGAAGAAACTAAGCAGCTCAGTAGAAATGAGAAATATTAAATTTATGTGCACAAATGTGGATGGAATTACAAATATGGGGAAGGGCTGCAGGTATGTGAGGAGACATTGGAACCTGGTATCACAATCACCAAGACATAACTGACAAAAGTAATAGAGGATACAATATTCTGAAGAGGATACCATGTAGTACAACATTACAAGAAAAACAGGAAGGAAGAAGGCGCACTACAAATACATTATGTTTGGAACTTGGTAGGAATTATTTAAAACCTGTCTAAATACACCATGTTAAAAGGAGGAGTATAACAACTACAACAAAACATGCTTAAAGATGAGACAATCCATAGGAGCAGTGATGAGGGTTCGAACCTATGCTGTGCATGTTCATACGCTTCTAGTGACTAGACCAGGAAATGGTATAAGCATTGCAACCTGGAATTCTTCTGAACAGACAAGGATTTCCTAAGGCTTCTACTAAAGCCAGAACTGAATTTTCACACTGCCCCCGCCCCCACCCCATGCACTCTGGCTTCGTCATCTAGGACTTGTTCAGATACTACTCTTTCAATACAGAGTAATCACACTAACGTGACTGCACGATGTCTGCACGGGGGAAATGTGAAAATCCTGTTCTGGCTTGAGCAGAAGCTTCAGGAAATCCTTGTCTGTCCAGAAGAATTCCAGGTGGCAATGCTTATACTATATCCTGGTCTAGTCGCTAGAAGCGTGTGCGTGGGAACATCCACATCAGAGGTTCAAACCCTCATCACTGCTATGGATTTTCTCATTAGTGCAGTCACATTAGTGTGATTACTCTGTGTATGCTTAAAGATAACTGAAAGGCAGCCATAGTTTCAAGGCAAGGAGAGCAAAGTTACTGGTACTCAGGGATCTTAATCATAGTGAAACACACTTGTCAACAGAGGATTCTCAAGGGGATGATTAAACAAAGAGAGCAAGATTAATGGATACAACAGTAAGGTAAGGAGGGAGGGAGGAGAGAGGGGAAGGAGAGGGAGGGAGGAGTAGAAAGGAGGGAGTAGGGAGGGAGGAATAGGAAGGGAAGGAGGAAGAGAGGGCAGTGTGCGAGTGTGTTTTAAGCAGACATAAGCATGGACAGACCTCACAGATAAGACAGCAGAGCAAGTTCAATGCAGAAATTTAAGAATTTTCAGATTTAATGTTTTCTCAACAAAAGGTTAAACAAAACCTTAACCTGACATCTTATAGTTAAGAAATATTTATATTTCTTACCAGTATTTCATTAACATGTATAACTAATCTGTACAAATAAAGCACAGATAATCTGCAGTAAATTCATCTATCCTTTCTGCATTCCCTTTCATATCTGAATAAATTCTACATCACATTTTTGTACATTTAATCTATCAAAATATTTAGATCAGACTTTTATCCTCTTCCATTATTTAGTCATATTTGTTCAAGATAAATTACAATATTTATTATCCTTAGCTTCTGAATGATCTGTTCACATATTTCGTCTCCCCTCTAGCTGTGAGTTTCATATCAGGTGACATTGACTATCTGAAACAGCATTGCACATATCTGCAGTCTCCAGAAATCGACAAAAATTCAGCTACACCTACTGTAGTGCCTTTAAGAGGTTGGAGCCAATAAGAGAAAGCATTACATTAAGTGCAATTGTAGAGATGCTACAGACCTTAGCGAGGCATCTACATCTGTGGCAGGCAGGAACACCGCTGCTGCACTATGAACAACTGAGGTGTGCTTAATTGATGATGGGTGATGAGCCTTGCAGGGGGCTCTGCCTTTGTGAGCCTGCCTGTAGGGAAACTCATCAGTGGGAAAAGCTTGTCTCATTAATTGTTATTCATGAATAATTCTGCAAGATGAAAAATATCAGAATACCTGTTAAATGATACATGCAAATCCTGTAAGATAATACAATACAAAACCTGTAAAACTTGTAATATAATTCCTGTAAAACCTGTAAGATAACACCTGCAAAACCTGAAAATAATATATATGTAAATATATAAGAGGTACCGTAATTTTATTCATTTATATTTATTCATTTTGCTTGCATGATGAGACTAAGTTGAAATTTACCACTGGAAATAACGAAGAGATCACAAAGGATGATGTGCCACAGGAAAATTCCTGAAATAAAGAAGTCCACAACAGGGATTTTAATAGAGAATTTGCCATAAACAATAATGGGAACAATATGGGAAGGGCAATGCCAAATACTGCTCATAAGACTCACCTTGATATAAAAGTGCCTTACCTCAATGCTGAATGACTCGCACGTCTTAAAATATCTGCGGTAGTTGCTTCAAGGTGCACGGTCACTGGAGCACAAGACAGTTTCATGCTACCCAAGAATTGCAACGTTGCTCAGTGTCCCATTATATTGCTATCCACCCCACCTTGTAATTATGTAGCCTCACTGTTACATGGCCCATCTTCCTATACAAAAACCATCTTTAATATTATATTACCCTAACAGCTGAGTGGACAGCACTTCAGATTCGTAGTCCTAAGGTTCCGGGTTCGATCCCCGGTGGAGAGGGAGAAAAATGGGCAAAAAGTTTCTTTCACCCTAATGCTCCCGTTACCTAGCAGGAAATAGGTACCTGGGAGTTAGACAGCTGCTACGGGCTGCTTCCTGGGGCCGTGTGTAACAAAAAGGAGGCCTGGTCAGGGACCAGGCCGCGGGGACACTAAGCCCCGAAATCATCTCAAGATAACCTCAAGATAACCCAACCTTGCAGCTGAAAAATTCCCGTTGCTACCATATAACAGATAAAATACTCTTACATAACCTGCATAACTGTCAACTATCATATCTTGCCACTATACAGATCCTCTCTTTCTGTTAGACCATTCACTTTGCTGCTACTAAACCCACTGTGTATACAAGTGAGTCAACTCTTAGCAACATATGTCCTCCTTACTTATATACACAAACACATGCACACACCTTCAATGCCTGTAGTTGTGAAAGTGTCAGGTCCTTGATTGGGATTTCTAACAGGTCCGTCTTGTCATGCTCCTTTTTGCGCTTGAGAGCAATGCAGGCGTGAAAGTCGTGATATATCACTGGCACGAGATCTTTGCTTAGCTGAACATCGAACTCCACCATATCTGCTCCTTTCTCTGCTGCATACTTAAGAGATGCAACTGTGTTTTCTCTGATGTTTGCACAGCTACAATAAAAAAAAAAAACAGCATGTAATGTAATGAAACACCATTTTCTGGGTGAGCCCAGAGGCTCCCTGGAGCTATCGGGCTAATATGTGATATATTGGCCCGGGGAATTAGCCTATGGAGTTCAGCCTATCGGCGACCACGAGCCAAAACCTAGCCCCCTCAGAGAGGTACAGGGAGCAATGGCCCTATAAACCCCCTCCCCTGTGGTTGGGGTTTTTCCTTATCTGCCATCAACTGGGGTTAAGCACCCAGAAAGGTAGGCATAACAAAAACACCACATGGTAAGAAAATTACAACTAAAAACAGAAAAGAGGCAGAACTCCCTCCAATCCCAAGGAAATGAGCAAACAAGCATATGTCACACTCCACAGCCGCATAGCTCATCTACGCAGCCCTTTGGGGAGGGGAGGGGTGGAGCCCCGGACCTCCCCACACTTCTTACCTAGCACTCCAGTTCGGAAACCTAAGCATCAACAATGTTTAAAACTGCTGACCGGAGGGGAGGGAGGGTTGTCAGGGAGCCTCCGGGGCTCACCCAGAAAATGGCTCTTCATTACATTCAATGCTGGTTTTCTGTGGGGAGCCCTTACGGCTCCCTGGAGCTACATAACCAAAGATAAGGAAAAGAGCGACTTACCTGGGAGGCGGCCGCCACACACTTCACACTCCTCAACGCAAAGACGAGACAACTGGCTGCAACCAGCGACCCAAAGCAACACAGTAACGAGAAGGAACGTTGACCAAATAATGGGCAGCCAGGACCCTGTTCGACCTCCAAAAACCCCCCGCGCCCGAATATCACCCCAGGACATGTAGCAAAACACGGCAGCCAATGCAGCAAACTTCCTAACATCATGGCCACAAGGATAGATCACAGGCTGGCAAGACTAAACCCTGTGGACGACCTGGGAGACCCGTGCCCTGGAAAAGGGAACAAGGGAACCAGATCAACTCAAAGCGCATCTCCAGCCACTGAAGCGAGCAGATAACAGCGATGAGCCGCAACTGGACGCAACGCATGATGCACCCTAGGCCTGACGCATCAATGAGCCAAGGACCCCTCCGGAAAGCTGTCGTCTCATTGAAGGAGAAGGCTGCAACCGAACAAACTGACCAGAAACCCCTGAACCGGAGGAGAGCATGAAGCTCACCGACCCCGACTCCCAGAGGCCAATACCAACAGAAACAGAGCCTTGAAAAAAAGTTTGAATTGAAGGGGCCACCATAAACCGAGAAGAGAAAAGATAGGAGAGCACCCTGTCCAAGGACCAGGACGGCTCAGGCGGTGCATGAGTAGGCCGAAGGTGAAACAAAGAACGAGAAAACTTACGGAATGGGGCAGAAGTGACATCCACCCCGAACACAAGCTGAAACAGCTCCACCAGCACCGCACGATATGAGGCGACAATATTAGGCATCAAATGACAGTTCTGAAAAAGTCAAGATAGAAAGGACAAAACAACAGGATCAGAAATAGAAGGCTACCTGATCACCATACAAATTGTGATGAACCAGCGTAAAAAAAAATCAGACGTGAAGAGGGGAGTAGAAGACTGAACCGGTCATGGACCGGGCCAGTCTGATCTGCCGGAAGAGGCAGAGCCGCAGAAAATGTCCTGGGTTCGCATACCGAGCAAGCAGCACCTGGAACCAAGGCTGGGCTGGCCACCAATGGGCCATGAGGACTACTCTTCCCTGGTAGGACTCCAACCATGCTAGAACCTGAAGCAACAGCTGGATCGGGAAGGAGAGGTACAGGTGATCTCCACCTCGACCAATCCTGCCGAAAGGCGTCCACCGTAAGTCTTGCAGTCGGGGAAGGGCGCCACAAATCAGGAGACCCCAAGACCACACCAACGCAAAGAGGTTCACGTCCAGCAGTGCCAATGGATAGAGTCGGCATCGCCTGTTCATTCCATAGGGAAATTAACAGACAGGCCATCCACCAGAAAGTTGGACACTCCTCGGATATAAACCGTAAGGAGAGCCAAGCCCTGAGAAGCCAGCAGATGAGCCATTCAAAGCGACCAGCCCCAAAGAGGCAAGGACCGAATAGAACCCCCTCAGTTCAGGAAATGAACCACCGGAGAACAGTCCAAATGGAGCCGAATGGTCGAACCCCAAGCGACCCGAACCTTCCGAAGCGACAGCCAAACTGCTGCAGATTCCCGTCCTGTGCTGCGAGCCGGACAGTCCCCATTGCCTCTGGCCGGCCTGGTGAGCCTGGTCACAAAAGCCCAGCTGAGAGACGACACATCCATGAACATATCGAGCGAGAGCTCGGGTAGTCGTCAAGGCAGTGAACCTCGAAAACCCCGAAGATGAAGCCGGCAACACAACAACCGACTCAAGGACCCCGGAATACGAACCTAGCAATTGTGAAAGAAGCGAAAAGGGCGTCCTTGAAGGAACCAGAACAGATGCTGAAGCCAAACCCAACCCAGTGGGTAGACCAGCACGGCGAAGTTCAAACTCACGCACAACTACTCAAACAAGCACCGAGTGACCGGGAACCCCCCCCCCCCAGAAACAGCCAAAGGTGGGACCGCAGCAGCAGCAATGCCTCCGAAGGGAGAGACATGGAAGCAGTTCTAGAGTCCCAAACAAGACCCAGCCAGATCTGAACCTGGGACAGAACCAGATGAGACTTCCTCCAGTTCACCAAGAACCTGAACCAGGCGAGCTGGGATAGAACCACACCCCTGACGAGCAGACAGGTGGACCGACTGGGAGCCCACATCAGCCAGTCGAGGTAGGCCAGGACCCAAACCCTTAGCAGACACAGACCTGGGTTAAACTTGTGAACATGAGAGGTGTCAGATTCAAGCCAAAAGGGAGGCAATGAAAGCAGTAAGCCTGACACCCCACCACAAAACCTAACCAGTCCCTGAACCCAGGATAAATAGGATCATGCCAATACGAGTCCATGAGGTCCAGGGACACCATCCAGGCACCCGGCTCCAAAAGAAGCCGAACCTGAGAAAGTGGTCATCCGAAAGGAGGGGCAAGGAATTCTGGGGGTCCGACGGGACAACTCCAGAATGAACCTCAGATCTGCAGTCTTGTTTCGGCACTGGAAACAGGCAGGAAACTTACCTGAGGGATGAGGTCATTTTGACCACCCCCAAGCGCACCCACTTCGAGATGACCTGACGAAGTGCAGTGGAAGAAGCCTGCCCCGCTAGCCGGAAGCCCCCTAAAGGAGGAGCCGCTGCCCAATGCCATCATAGGCCAGAGGACACAACCGAAAACGGCCACGAAACATGGGACTAGGCGCAAGCAAACAGAGTGAGCCTCTCACCCTCACCCTTTACAAGAAGCCAGCTAACGAACAGAGCGATCATCATGGCGACAAACGACGCCAGCTCTGAAGCAATGTTGGCTCAGGAGCTGGCACGAATGGCCCACCTCAACCACCTCAACCCCGAGTCCTGGAACAATCCTTCCGAGAAGATCGGGAACGGCAGCCCCGGAGAACCAACAAGTCCAACACAGAACGACAACTAGACAAAGCTGCCTGCAGAAACTGCATGACAGCAGACTCTGCAAACAGCAACAGACAATGCGAAGATGAAAACCTATAAGCCACGGCCCAAGCGGATTCCAGAGAACAAGCGAGCACAGCCTGAAGGCACGCGAGGCGAGAAGCAAAGAACAGACACCGCCTCCTTCAGGATAGGCACAAACAGCTTCAACAGTGCAGCCGATGCCCGAGCGACCAAGGACAGCACGCCAGACGAAGGCCCGGTACTTAATGCCTCAACATCCTCCTCAAGCCAGGTCGAAGACTTCTCAAGAAAGGAAAAGAAGCTCAAGACTGAAGTCATGTGCCCACTGGCATGCAAATCCTCGGCAACCAAGGACACGAAAGGATAGGAACCTGCACATGCAGCTTCACGAGGCCAACATCCCGAGAAAGCACAGGGAGGGCAAACAAGCAAGCATTAAGGTGCTCAAACTGGCCTTCCCCCCCCAGGTAAACCTGCAAATCGGTAGAAGTTTCTCACCACTCAAGTGTGCAGGTCTGACAGAACCCATGCCATGCCCCAACGAAAAGAATGGGCACTCTGCCAGCCAGGAAGACTCCAGACCCTCAAAATACACCCAATACGGGGAACAACAACAGAACTCAAATAAGGACGGATCCATCACCGAGGCAGAATCCGGGTCTCGCAGGAGGCATGCATCAAGAGCCTCCTGAACCTCCCTAGGGAAGACACAAGAGGCAGAAAATCTCCAGAAGGACTGGGCCAAGGAACCCTGGAACCACCCAGCGGAGGTTCCCTGGAAACCCGGGGAGGAGCCGAACCCAAATCATACTCATACAAAGGGATGTTAAGAAAAACCCCTTCCCCTGCTACAACAATCTCCGCGAAGAGGGCACCAACAACTAAACGGGGTCAAAGGAGGCCAAGGCCCCCCAAGGTCGACTCGTCCCGCAGCCTCGGGATCCTCGAAGTCAGGACCTGGGGGCAGAGCAGTCCTCTATACCCTCTACCCCTGAAGAAAAGACAAAGTCCAGGGGAAAGGCTGAAAAAAAAGGGGGGCTTACTGGTGGGACGCATAAGCCTCGGTAGGAGGAACCGGCTCGAATGCCTCCGTCCCAACCCGAATTGGGCAGCCCCCGAAGCTGCCCAAGTCTCATTACTAACTAAACCCTGCCGACTCTGAAACCCTCAGATGTTTGAGAGCCAAAAGCAGGGGGCCCCAAGTAGCAAGGGGGGGGGGGAGACGAGTAGCAGGGTGAACAACAGGGAAAGAACCAGGGATTGCGGACTGAACCAAATTTGAAGCAACTAATGCCCCCCAGGCCCGGGTCCCTATAACCGAAGTGGGGTATCCCGGGGGGAGGGGGGGGGAGAACCAATCTTGCACGTTGCAACAACCTGAACTGCAAGCTGATAAATGTAGTTATACATGCATCACGGATGCTGCCTGTACCCCTAATAGCAATATCATCAGAATAGTACTGGAGAACACGCAGAGAACACTAATC